TCTTAAATTTTAAGTAATATGCATCAATAAACAATACTTCATGCATAAAAAATCGTTTTTAAGAGTTTTTGTCAAATGCTTTATAATCTATACTATATTATAAAGCATTTGACAAAACTTTTAAAACCCATTTTTTATGCATGAAATACTGTATACTGATGCATATTACTTAAAATTCAAGATTACAAGTAAATTATACATAAGTACAACTTATTAAAGCTCCATGTTTGAATTCGTGTAACTAACTTCAGATAAACATAATCAAATAGAGAATAAACATCTCATTTTAAAATATAAAAAATCTAAAATATAATTAGAATAATCATCGAGTTCTAACAAAATAATTTATTATTATCTTTATAAGAAAATTATATTATTAAACCAAATATAAATTACTTTGTTATTGAACCTAAATTAAATTATAATTAAAAAATTACACAAAAATATGAATTTTAAATAGTTAATTTAATAGTAATATCGATATATTTTTGTCAAATTTTTATAATATATTGAAATTTATATTTTATTCAAAAATACAAAATTCATCGTTTTTTCAAAATCACATAAAACCATATTCAAGATGTATCTCGCTGCATTGCGCGAGTAATCTTCTGGTGTACTATAAATAAATATAGATTTAATAATATATTTTTTATAAAAATAATAATTAAATATTCTGTTAGAGCTCAATAATTATCCTGATTTTATTTTAGATTTTTTATATTTTAAAATAAAATATTTATCCAATATTTGATAATGTTTATTTGCAGTTAATTACACGAATTCAAATATAAAGCTTTAATAAGTTGTACCTATATATAATTTATTTGTAATATTTAATTTTAAATAATATTAATATTTAATTTTAAATAATATGTATCAATAAACACAACTGTATATACATAAAAAAAATTAAAATCTTTAAAATCCAAGGTAATTAACGAATTGAGATGATAAGCACTCTCTTCTAGCCACCACAAAAGAGGTAAACTGAAGAACACACACCGTTACCCACCAGAAGTTGGCCGGAAAGCTTGATTCTAACTCAGGTCAGCTACTTTTATGTTGCTATCAAGATTTCAAACTTCAAAATTCGTTTTCTTACATCTCGGTTTGTGTGTATATGTTTCTGATTGAGAATCCATTTATGATTTTTGGTTTCCCGTTTCATACTCTCAGTTAGCAAACAATCTGATTTGTTACTTGCCAATTTATGATTTTTGTTCACGTTGTTTCTCGTAAAATATTTTGCTTTCTACTGATTAAAGTTCGTTCCTTAATCCTTAGTAATTAATTTCCATTTATTTTGGGTAATTATTGTGAACAGGGCAAGGAGGAATTATCCTAGGGTTTAGGATAAGAACAATAATTGGGTTTTTTGTTTGATGATATGTTGTACTTGGTGCGTGAGAAGCTCTTCATTGGCAACATCAATGCAGCTGCAGAAGTACTTTTGGGTGGCAATGAAGAAATCACCCATATCTTATCAGTTCTGAGCTCGGCTTCTATTGGGTTTTTCTCAGAATGGAAATCGAGTTTTTCGGTTCCTACCAAAGAGATTCGTACAGTGTACGTGGGGGATTCAGATTCAGATGAAAATTTGGATGGTGATGGGTCAAATAAGACTGAATTATGTTCCAAGAAGATTCATTATGTGGTGGAGAATGCAGGCCATGATTTGAAGTTGGTGAGAATGGCTGTACCTTTGAGAGATATGGAGAGTGAGAATTTGCTGGATTCATTGGAAGTTTGTTTGGATTTCATCGATGAAAGTAGGAAAAAGGGTTCAGTTTTGGTGCATTGTTTTGCAGGTGTATCGAGAAGGTAAAACTTACATGCTGCTTAATTCGTGTTATTTATTGGTTTCTTGTTTATAGACCTGTTTATGTGTTAATTGCACTTTTAAGTGAATTTGTTTGTTTTTTTCCTCTTTGTTTAGGTCTTAAAAAGTTGTATTCTTGATGATGGTCAGTTGTATCAGTAAACATTAATCTCTTTTATCTGTTTATTATCCTTATTTAGCATAATAGTCACCCATACTTATGTGAACATTATGTTTTATTTCTTTTATAAACGTAAATATTATGTGGTAAACTATCTAGATGTGATGATCCGAATTCTCATGAATAATCTTTTAGGCATGCCCGTGCCTGATATGATGTGCTAACTACTTGATTTTATGATCCGTATCCTTGTAGATTAACTTTTTGGTCCCATACCCTTTACATACGTGCATATGTTTCTTTTGTTCCTTCTTTGTTACTTGTGATAAGTTATGTATATTACATGATAGGGTCGAGTTTTATCCAAGTTGAATACAAGGTAGCACTTGAGCGATCAATTATGAATAAATAACGTCTTGGCCACAAGGTTAAAGATCTCCTCATAATCCTCACCACAACAAGCATTGACCACCAATATATGAGTTTTGAAGCACTTGAATAAATAACAAACATGTAATAGGACTACTGAATGTGCTATAATAGGACGAGGAGTAGTCTGCTAACATGTGTACGTGTTATGCTCCTCCTTGCTGCACTGGACACCAAAAGTAGAAGGAATATTATATGCATTATAAGTATATTTCTTGGTGGTCGTGGTGACTGAATATGTGAGCTACTCAAACCCTGAAAACGGCTCTATTGAAGCTTTGAACAATGGTGAAGTTATCAAGGAATAATAATCTTACTCATAGAACCTTCACCGAGTTTTCTCTGCCACCCTATCTTCTATTAATAGTCGAAACATCTTTTGGAGCCTCCACCTCAATGCTTTCCATAAGAAACTAAACCAAACCAAACTCAAAAGTTGGGCCTATGGGGGGCTGGATGTACGCAGACCTGTCCCTTACCCCAAAAGGTAGAGAAACTGTTTTCATGAAGACCCCAGCTTGTGAAAAAGGTACGATGAACAATGACTAGTAAATAGTAAGCAACAAAAGAAAAGGAAAATACAAGTAAAAAAAAAGCGAGTACATTGAAACATAGAAAAGGTAAGTAAAAGCATACATCCCTCTATCTACAGTAGGCCTCAGTTACTCTATTGTCGGCTCTTTAGCTGTCCCCCCGTCCCACCCTCAACCTCTCCAACTCCTGTCTTCCCTTCCACGCTAGCTACAGGCCCCTGTACCTTGTCTGCTACCCTAGTCCTGTGTCTCCAAGAACTCGTATCAGAGTTCATGTTCTGGGAAATGTCTAAGGCCACCATTTATGTCCTCAGCTTCTCTCCCCCTTGGGCCTTGGCCGTCATGCGTTCTACACTCCTCACCAGTGCCACCGTCGGTCTCCTGCGAACGTGTCCAGACACTGCAATCATCCCTCTCTTAATCTATGTTAGGTAATGCGATTAAAATTGCAGGAAAATTATGTAATTGATATGATTATGAGGATGTAAGTCTTTGCTTGATTTCTTTTTGGTTGCGTACGTAATTGAAAAGAATCTGAATGTACAGTGTTAATATTACTTTGCAAATTTCTTCTTTATAAAGTTTCTTTATAAGACGATTTAGTTTTCAAAGATTTCAAGAAGAAACTCTGTAAAACGAAAACGGGATTTGTCATACGCATGTTTGTGGATTGATTATGAACCTTGCTGATCTTTTTTATGTATTCATATTCGCATACAACCAACACCAGCACAACTACTAATCATCATTTACCATTAGTTTTAAATTCTGTTCATACAAATTACAATAATGTTGAAAGGGGTACAATCTTCTTTCAACATGAACACATTAATAGCATGGTTTGGTGTACAAAATTGTTGCATGTGAACCACCCTAAAAGTAAAACATGGTGAGGTTAATTTCCAAATCTACCAACCATTCATCATATTTTTTCCCATTATGTTGATAAGTTAAATGATACATATCGATCAATTTTACTGAATGCATTAGAAGTAGCATCATAAGCTATATGTTTGTAAGCTTTCATTTTCGTATTACTTTGTTGCTATACTAGTCTGCTTGATATTGTCAAAAAGATTCAGAGAAGACGAACATTGCAATAACTTGTAGTTCTTTGCTTGTCAAGCCCTAAGGGTTTACACCCTTCTTTGCGTGTATTCGTTGCAGTGCGGCCATCATCACGGCATACCTGATGAGAACTGAACGAATGTCTCTAGAAGGTTTGAGGACAGCTGTTTCTTTAAGTATTCCTCATCTGATCTGATAATCTTTGGGCATTTTCTTTCGTTTAATATAATTTTTTTTCCTGTTTCTTTTCCACCTAAATATCCCTGCAGATGCACTTGAATCATTACGCCGTAGCAATGAATCTGTTTGCCCAAATGATGGATTTTTAGAACAGGTAAATGCTAACGGAAACAAAAACTAAGTTCATATTATAATGCAACATTGCAAAGCAAAATGAGTGTCAGGTTTAATTTTCTTTTCTTTTTGTGCATTCTGAAGTTTTCATCCCTTTGAGGTGCAGTTGAGCATGTTTGAAGATATGGGTTTCAAGGTTGATCATTCAAGCACTATATATAAACGCTTCCGTTTGAAAGTTTTAGGTGTGTTTTCTTACCTAAACTCTGTAATGCATTGATATACTCTGAATGACCTGGTTTCGGACCAATAGAGCATTTTTTCATCATAAATTCTAAAAATCAAGGGAAACGAGGCTTGCTAGACTAACCAACCCCCAGTTTAGCCAGGAGAAAAAGGAAAATCACAGTGATGTCTGTTAGAAATGTTCGTATGAAGGTTCTTGTTTCGTGTATACGCTGAGTTTCTTATAAATCCTACTTTTACACTCTATCTGATATCATTTGATTATGTGAATCTCATGGGTTGTCCAAATTGTTAATGGAATTATTCATGCATCGAGGATTATGGGTATACCCTTTTTCTCAACATTTGGCTGTTGTGTATTTGGTGTACTAGGTGACTCGTATAACCGAGGAGAGAAAATTGACAATTGTAAGTTTGCGGCCGATCCTGGCTTGCCCAAGAAAGAAGCTTCTATTGGGACGGGAGCAGGATCCCAGAAAGAAGAATTGATTCCTACGGTTGCATTTCGCTGCAAAAAGTGCAGGAGAGTTGTTGCATTGCAGGAGAATGTTGTGAGTCACACTCCAGGGGAGGGTGAGAGTTCCTTTGAGTGGCATAGAAGGAGTAGTCGCAACACCTTCAACAAATATGATGAGTTTGAGTGCACCTCCATCTTCGTTGAACCTCTACGTTGGATGAAAACAGGTATGATATGACTTGCTTTCTTTTTTGTATTCTTTGGATTCATTACACTTCTGAGAGTTGCATTAACTAGCTTTTCGACTCAAATTTGATGATTTATTATATCTTAATTTTTCATGAAAATAACATAAGAACAATATAATCTATACGTATCTACCTCCCAAATTGAAAGCTTATTTTTTGGTTATATTTGTCCTAAGTTAATTGCCTATCTCTTGATTCTAAACTTCTGTTTATGACATTTTTCCTTTTTACCCTTCTCTAACATTATGAAACTATATTGTCAATAAGTTATGAGCTTGAGAGGAACTAAGGTTATTGTGATTGATAACGGAATTTAATTGTAGAAACAAATGATTCATGGTCAAGAAGATATACAGAAAACATATTTAGAATATTCTAGGCTATCTCATGTTTCGTGGCACTTGAACTTGGTATTTAATGTCTTAGCAGCAACAAAAAGGTGTAAAATGAAGAGTAAATTAGGAGAAACATGGAGGAATTCTTGTCAAGGTCGCAATAGAAACAGTTTGTTGATGGGTACATGTTCACTTTGAGGATTTGATAAACCAAACCAAACCAAACGAATCAAGTCTCCTATTCCATCTTGAATGAACTGGGAACTGGTCATTTTTAAAAATAGGTGAAAGATTGAGGCCGAGTACATAGAAACCTTCATAATATACTTACTATAAGAACCCACAGTTTTTCTTTCTTGCCAGTAAATCAAATCCATATTCATGCTTTTAAACATTAGCACTTCCATCTTATGACCAAGAGAAAGTGACAAAAATACTCATCATGTTAAGTTTAATTTCTTGTTGTGTGTTATATAGGTCTCCTATATACTTAATCCTAATCGTTCACTTAAGATCCAGTTCCTGCGCCCAGTAAGGAAAAAAGAACCGAAAAGTTAGGATACAACATAGAGTTCCTGTCCTTAAGGTCACAACAGCCTTAAACATAACTGGTGTCTTGAGGATTAAAGGATGTTAACCCTTAAGGTTTGATGCTGTCTCTATAGGGCACGTTTGGTTTGCCGGATTTTGTGGGATTGGGAATTGGATTCCATTTCTAATCCCTGTGTTTAGTTTCAAGAAAAAGTCCGGATTGAAATCCCACAAACATTGGATTTAGAAATCTCATGGCGGTAGTTGGTATTTCACGGGATTTGTTTGTAATAATGTTTTACAATATGTTAAAAACATTCCTTCGGTAAATAATCAATAAATAAAAAGTAATTTAGTTATTTTTATAATTATCTATAAAGAATGGAATTTAATTCTATTCCAAATCTGATATCAAAAAAGGAGAATTTTCAGGACAACTGTAGAACAATGATAGAAGCAGAGAAAAAAGATTAGATGATTGATGATTTTTTGGTGTGCTCAAACCTGTTCTACTATCACCTTTTAAACCCTTTTGGTAGCTCAACTAGTAAGACCTTGGATTTGACCTCTCTTGTGGTCATGAGTTCAAGTCCGCTTGCAGCCGCTGGAAGTTTTGGCTGTTAACTTCAAGGCCCCATGGGATTAGTTGAGGTGCCAGCAAGCTGACCCATACACCTATGGTTACATAAAAAAAGAATGATATGAATAATAGTTTTCTATTGGATACTAGTTTTCCAACATAATCTGGGTACTAAAATAGATAACTTATGGTGTTAGAAACCGTTAAAAAGGTTATCACATGAGGACTAACAATTTGGAATGTAAGTAGTACTTATAAATCCATCCAATGAGAGTTGCAACAACCGGTTCTACATGTAGTTCAATAAAATGTGCCTGATTATCAGTCAAAGTTTGAAAGTATTTCTCAATAGGCGAAGGATCGTGTGAGAAGGAAAGTTATGATGAGAAGCGTAAGAAGAGATCTGAACCCTTGATCACTTTTAATCTCATGCCCACCCATGAATTGCGCTTTAGAAGGGAATTGATCCGGTGCATCTCGGTGCACCTCATTAATGTTGACATTCATTTAAGATTGATTCAATGGTGGAGATCTCTTCTTACGCGTCTCACCATGACTTCTCTTCTCGCTGGAATGCAACCCTTCTCAATTACAGCAAAATAGGGGCATTTTGTGGACCGGATCAATAACATCAATAATTTGTAATAAACAATGAGCAAATGTCATTTTACTTTGAAAAGTTCCCAAAATTATGTAAGTTGCAATTATTTAATACAAAAATCCCAAAATCGACATTGTTATGAAGCTCATGAACGCATAAGCACCAAGCTTATCCACTTTTAATCTTAATAGTCTCTTCTCCAAGTTCTCTTTTTCTTCCGGGTGAACCATGATCATGTTAGAGCTCTAATTGTTTGGCATACTATTTGGTTATATGTATCTGTAACTAGCTTAAGTGTGTATCCGTGCAATGCAAAACCAAATCAAACGATCCCAGTATATATATCCCTCCCGGAGGTGGGTCTGGGAAGGTAAGATGTATGCATACTTGACTCTACGTCAGCAATGCAACAGGATGTAAAAGTTTATGGAATTAGTAGCCTAGTAGGTATCAATGCTTATCCTGTATATGAACGTGTTTATCAGTTGGTTATCAATTAATACATATTTCAATGTGGAGTTTTAAGAAGTATGTATGCAGTAATAAGCTGTAAACTTTAATTTTAAAAGATTTTAAGAACAAGGTCTTCATGGAAACAACCACTCTACGTCTCTACCCTTTGGGCTAGAGGACATGTATACTTACATCCCATCCCCATGCCCTGATCAATTTTCGAGTGGGATATACTGGGTTCCTTTAGTCTAATGTTTCGAATAACCTTTAACTCATTAAACTGAAATTTATAACAAAATTCATGGGAGTTCCCAATTTTGTGGTCCAGTTGAAGAAGGTGGACTTGAAGGAAAGTTGTGGTGCGTGCATTGTGAAGGCCGGTTGGGTTACTTCAATTGGTCGGGCATCCAGTGTAGCTGTGGGAGTTGGATCACCCCTGCTTTTCAGCTGCATAAAAGCCGAGTCGATGTCAGCACCGTCTAAGACATACCTATACATGGTTCTCACCTGGCTGAACCTTTTATACGCAATAATTATACACATCAATCCATCATGGCTTCAATACTTCAATTATTGGCTTCAATTGCATGAAGTTGAAGCTGTATACGGTCATGATTTCATTGTTTCTTTGACTTGATATCGTAAACTATTTGGTTTGATGTCTAAATGATACAAGTTCCGTTAGAAATGGAGGTTTTGCGCTTCTTTCTGGGCGTATCCATTTCTTTTGGTTTATGGAAGCGTTTTCCGGGGGCTGTTTCACTGTTTGTTGTTTTATCATCTCGTGCTCATTGAAGCAAATTTGGATGTGATTTTAGCCGAAAGGTGAAGAAAGGTTTAGCCGTTCATTTTTATTCTAGCGTGTAATACTGTGGCCCCGTTTACTTTGCGGGATTTGGAATTGGATTCCATTCCAATCCCATGTTTGTTTAAAGGAAGCTTCGGAGTTGAAATCCCACAAATATTGGACATAAAATCCTATGGAGTAGTTGGTATTTTACGGGATTTCATAAGATTTTTTTGTATAATGTTTTAAAATAGCTCTCGGGCGTGTAACTCAATTGGCAAATAGGTGGAGCGACTTTGTTCAAATACACAACATGTTCAAGTTGGAACCCTGGGAGAGACAGGGCTGAACCCCTTCGCTAGCTGCAACCGCTAAGTCAACTCTGAAATGCCTCCTCACTTGCGGTTCTTAGAGGGCAGGTTTCGTGTGGAGTAGGTCGGAGTTGTCAGTAATCAATCTTTTACTAAAATAATGTTTTAAATCATGTTAAAAAATTTATTATGCAAGAATCAATTAATACAAGGTAATATAATTATTTTTATAATTTGTTTTTATAACTTATCTACATAGACTCTATCCTAATAGAAAAAAGAAAGAAGAAAATGTTTGAACACATAAATTTTTGTCTTCTCAAAAAGAACTTAAACCGAAATTTAAGAGAATAACATCAGCTCATGATCATATGGAAAATAGCCATAATGGTTAGTGCTTTTACCGAGTACGTTTTTCGATTTTTTTTAACAATGCAATAAAAAAACGTTTGAAGTAATTTAAAGAAAATATCGAAAAGAAATTTTCTTTATGACCCAAGTCCGAAAGAACCCATCGACCCTATGGTTACGAGCCAAGCCTACAACCAACGGATCATTGAGGAAGATTCAAACGACAACGCTAACTATTTAAAAAAAACAAGAAAAACGTCGTTAACATACAAAATCACATGTGATTTTACATTAAATGGAAGCGGATGACTTTTAAATCATATATAATTTGTTACGTAAATCATATATGATTTTGTATACGAACGAAATTTATTTTTAATTTTTTTAAATATTTTAAACTTTCACTATTTATATATTGTTTTTAGAATCTTTTATTGGACAAGAAAGGAAATGAAAATATGGTTTGTGGGCGTACTTTTGTTCCCACCCACACAAACCCACGTTGGAATCAAATAAACAATGAAAGGTGCGTAGGATAACACATCTCATGTTCTTTTTGGTTCCTTGGTTTATAGTGGTACACTTGTAATCCATCTCAACTAAATACCCAGATTTAAAAATACATCTACATGGGAAAACGAAAGATTCATATATGAATTATCGAAGACTTTTATTTAAAGATATATAAATTCATATGAAAAATCTGCAATGTGAGTTTACATTGATCATATGTGAATAAGTGATAAAAGAAAACGTTGGTTGACATATACATCTTCACATGTGAATAAGTAAGCAAACAAACGTAAATTCATATGAGCATCTTCAAATGAATTCATTTTTTCAAGTTTATTAATGATTCATATTCACATATGAATCATTTATTCTTTCATTTCTAACCAATTTTTCCCCTTTTTTATTCGAACCGTCATATACATACGATTTGGTCGATTCGGAACACGGAATACAGATTTATAGCAAAGAAATATTCTTAATCCAACATATATACCAATATATATACCATGGGTGTAATTCCATCGTAAACTTGTAATAAGGAATATAACATGTGAATAGTGTCACCTACATACCTAAGGGGACCTATAAATAATAAGCTTCCTTTGCGTTATGAACCATTCAGACATTTGCTTACATATAAACCTAAGTATTATTCATATCGATAACAACATATATTATACGTAATCGTTTTCCGAAGGTAAACTTTAATTTTCATCATAGTTTTCGTCGTTGGTCATGGAAATACTTGCATCACCCGCAACACCCAAGTACGAATGCTTGCTCTTTGGTATGTTTATCGTTGCTTTCTTTGTTTACTAGTTTTTCCCGTAATTTTCCATGGTTAAAAATGTTTATTTTGTTCATCTTTCTCAGACATGGATGATACGTTGTACCCAATGAGCTTAGGTCTTAATTCTTCTTGTCGCAAGAACATTGAAGGTACCCGAATCGTTGTAGCCATTTTCATTCTGTTAATAAGTTGGAAATCTCAACCGTGGGCGGTTTCAAATCCGTCCAGGGATGCACTCACTACAACAAAATGGGTTTTTTAAGACGTTTAATTATCCCTAGGCGTGATAATAAAGCACTTAATAGGACTTGCGTAATAAGACCAGAACTATATATGCACTTTGTACAATAGTGTTACAATAAGTTGTATTAACAACGTAATGTTTTTGAAAATTGGTTATAAGTTGGCAATTTTTCATCCAGAGTTCATGTTGACATACTTGAAGATAGACGAGTGTCAAGTTCCCGATATGTGCTTGGACTTGTACAGAGAACACGGGACAACGATGGCTGGTCTCAAGGTATATATACGTTACAGCTTCATGTTCAAGAACTATTTGGTGTTGGTTAAACGGGTCGGGTCGGGTCGGGTCGAGATTAGAAGTGTTGGGAGTCCCAATCGACCAGACATGGACTATCAAACCCATATATAGGGTTGGGTCATGTGAGAGATGTATTATTCGTGAGAAGTGTGAGAAATGGAACCTTCATATAATATATGTAAAGATACCATTTATATTGTATGAAGGCGTGTGGAGTTGGCGTACAATCTTCACATAAACGGGTGAAGGTACTGCACATTCTGCACCGTGTTCACAAAATATAACATAATATTCACACAATATACAAGGGTATATATTTTCACCATTTCTTACGTTTCTCATAAAAATATTTTTTCTTACGTGATCACAAACTAATCAGTTCTTTCTTGAATGGACCTCTATATAGGTGTCTAATCAAATGAGAACTAGATAATTTGTGGTAAATGTGAGTTCCAATATGAGCCAATCATTTTTAGATAATTAATGTTATTTACTAAAATAAAACAAATGATAAATTAGTAAACTGTGTTGATTATTCAATTTACTTTAATTAGTTTAATATTTCAATTTATTTTAATTAGTTTAATTATTTTAATATATGTACACAAGGACACACAGGGACCAAATCCGGTGGCCTTCTCCGGCACCCACCACCACTCCGTGACCTCCTCCGGTCATCTTGTCTGACCAAGACGCCGTCTCCGATAATCGACCACTAAACACCCACCAGTGAACATTCCCGACAGCTAGTCCTATCTTTGTTCCTGTAACCCTCTCGCTACCTATCTCCCTTCCCCCATTCCCTCCACAGTTGGTATCACAGTGGTATCACAGTGTCTCAAAGTTTACTTGGTGTGCTTTGAGTATCACATTGAGTATCTTGGTGTATTTTGGGTATCACATGGTGTTCGTAAGAGACTGGAGATAGGAGAGAGAGAGAGAGAGAGATAAAAAATTTAAAATACCTAAAACCTTTAATTTATAATTTTACAAATTAACAAAAATATTAGTTTCTTAATTTATCTATTGATTTATGTTTGAGATTGGATCTCACAGTTAGCACAAACTATTCAGTTCTTTTCTTGAATGAAATTATATATATATATATATATATATATATATCATTCATTTATTTATACAATATGTACATGTGCATAAAAGTAATTGGTCTGGTATGCACACGTACATAAAAGTAATCGGTCTGGTATGCACATGTTCATAGAAACCAAAAAACATTTTCAGTTACTTTTATGCACATATACACATACCGTATAAATGAATGGTTATTAGGGTGTTACTTAGTTTTCCATTTCTTTGTGGTTTTTCCTAAACCCGAGTCTATATATACATGGAGGATCAAATGAGAACAAAGTCAACTTACGAGAACCCTATATCACATGCATGTTATTAAAGAACAGATAAAACCACAGAGGTTGACCATTCACATGTGATTATACACTTAAAATCACATGTGATTTATCCGTTTAAACGATATATAGTATTATATACAGATGATTGCTGGTGTTGTCAAGCAGTAGTACATGTACATATGTATGATTATGATCTATATATATATATACTTGTAATTCTTAATATTGAACATGTTTTGGTTAATCTGGCAGGCTCTTGGTTATGAATTTGACAACGATGCATTTCATGGTTTTGTACATGGAACCTTACCTTACCATCTTCTCAAACCTGATTTGGTGCTAAGGAACCTTCTGCTATCGATGCCACAACGCAAAATCGTACGTCTGTCTTGCTATCCGATTTTATTTCAGTCGTTGGTAAATCGTTTAACAACTGTACATGTGTGTGTCGGTTTCAGATCTTCACAAACGCGGACCAAGCACACGCAGCTCAAGTCCTCCGTCGCATGTGTTTGGAAGACTGTTTCCAAGGTGTCATCTGTTTTGAAACTCTCAATACTGATCAGCAACCCAACCTTGTCGAAAATCATCACGCTCGCATCATTTCTTCTCCAACCCGAATCGTATGCAAACCGGCTCTTGAATCCTTCCAAACTGCTACTATCATCGCCAATCTTGACCCCAAAAAAACAGTAACTTCTTATGTCCTTTTTCCTCCCAATATATTCATGAACTCTCACCTCCAACATTTTAATACTCAACTAATCCACTACAACAAAATTGGGTTTATAGGACACCCGCAATCTCTAAGCGTCCCAATAAACCGGTTTATAGGACTTAGTTTATAGGATTAAAATATAAAGCGTCATATCTAAAGGTGTTGTAGTAAGTTTATATGACGCTTTTGGATGTCTTAACAAGTTTTTTAGGACATTTTTAATACAAAGTGTCGCATTAACAACTAGGACACTTTTGAGAAAGTGTCCTATAAACTCAAGTTTTTATAGGACACTTGTTTTTATAGGACATTTTTTTCAAATAGTGTCCTATAAAGTTGCTAATGGAACCCTTTATATTAAAAGTATCCTAAAAAACTTATTACCACGTCAAGAAACGTCATATAAACTTATTACAACACTTTTAGATATGACACTTTATTTTTTTGGTCCTATAAACTAAGTCCTATAAATAGGTCTATTAAGACACTTAGAAATTCGAAGTATCCTATAAACCCGATTTTGTTGTAGTAATCATTCTGCACTAATACTTGAACAAATATCCGGTTTATATATAATACGTAAATGAATGTCTATGCAAAATACGGGACCAAACAAACAATTGTATGTTCAATACAAAAACGTTGTAATAAGTTTATAAAATACTTTTGAACGTTAAAAAAATTCTAAGACACTTATAATATTAAGTGTCGTATTAGCATTTCTTTCAAAGACATTTTTTGGAAGTGTACTATATACACTTCTTTTTACATGATATTACATTACATCTTTTCAAATAATGTCATATAAAAAAATTAATACGACGCTTTATTTCAAAAGTGTCATTAAAAACTTGTTAAGACGTCCAAGAACGTTATGAAAACTTATTGCAACACTTTTACATAGAAGACACAATTGAGTCATCTAAAATGGTCATCTATTAGGACACTTTGATTTTATTATAGTGCAAATCATTCGGTATCTACCAAACTGAAAACTCGATCAAAAATTGTTACGAAAGATTGATATATAAAAACTAATAAAAGAAAATTAACGGTTTCGTTCGTTTTCAGATCTTCTTTGATGATAGCGTTAGAAACATAGCCACTGCAAAGGCTGCCGGATTTCATACCGTCATTGTAAGTTCACTAATCTTCATTAGATCATAGTCTTATTGGATCAGCCTGTTGCTTTGAGATTATGTAAAAGACACATACTAATTTCACGTCATATAAACCCGATTTTGTTGTACTGTTTTTAAATAATGATAATAATAAGTTTTGGATACTAAAACATACAGGTGGGAAGGTCAAGTGTTGTGGCAGGGGCAGATCATGCTTTAAACAGCATCCACAATATGAGAGAAGCATTGCCACAAGTATGGGAGGATGTTTATGAAGGAGAACAGCTTTTGGTCCAATCCACTGCTGTCGAAACCGTTGTCAATGCGTAGTCATAATCGAATTCAATAACCTTCGAATGTGAAAATCGATAAACGTCATATATAAAAGTGTTGCAATAAGTTAATTAGATTGATGACATAGCAAATTGTATCAAGAAATGTGAGATGTTATGTTTGATACAGAACTCGGCCCATTTCATATATGAAAGCAACCCACGATAATACCCATCTCAGAAGTTATATGCAGCTTCGTGTGCGTCGATAAAATCTTGTGGATAACGGCATAACGCGTATAAGGGAGGAAAAATATCACTGTACATAAGTTAGCGACTTGCAAGCAGCTTGGGAAGTCGCATGCCAAGTGATGGGGCGTCGTATTTGTTTCAAAATGAGAAGTTGTAGCGACTTATGTGCAATCTGCACGTCACGCAACATATCGCTTACGAGCATTCGACCAATGAATATATGTCGATATAGCAAGTTGTAGAGTAATCTTGACGCTTTCTTGGTGATTTTGTAGGTTTGTTCCTACATCGTATAAGTTTATGCAATATTGGGTTGTTTGTTTACCTTTTAATAGTTTCATTGTTGATCCTCTCTCTCAGTGATTTGATGATAATCCCTTTTCTCTTTCACGTTGTATTTGTGTTTCTGTATTTTAAGTTCCAGCGATCTTCATTGAGTATGTTCAATGATCGCTGAAGAACTTGCWTTGTAAATCTWTCAGARACAGCAATACTTCAAGAARACAACACTCACACCAAAGAACCTTCAGCAAACGTCGAAGACTGAAACTGAAGATTAGAGACCGGCGAGTACGTGATCTGAAGCGGTATTCAGTGATTACAAGTCTGTCTATGTATGTGTGAAGACTGCTCTAGCTTCAGCGAATGATGATGAGACCTTCAGGTCATTCCAGCATTCAGCGATCAAAGGAAGCTTGCTTAGCACGATTGTTGTTGTCTTGTCCTTATGTACACAAAGGATAAACCCATACCCTTACAAAAGTTAGTACGGTACAGAGCCGATTAGTTGACTCTTTGTCCACCAACTTTAGGTAAGGATGTCTGCTCAGAAATAGTGCTTTTGTACTATTCATTGTAGCAAAGGACAAACCTTCCTCTTAAGGTTTGACACGCACTCTAAACCTACCATATTGCATTAAATGATCATTTAATGCACTGGGTATAAATAAAAGTGTTTCTTCTCCATGCAGAGAGCGCGCATCTCTCTCTAACCTTATTCTTACTTCAAGCATTTTCTACCTTAAGTAAAGGATCTTTCTTTTAGCAATCTTTTTTCTTGTATTTGCTAAAGCTTTTGTGTGTAACCAAAGATTATTTAGATAGATTGTTATTACCTTATCTTTTCGCAAACAATCTTGTAAAATCTGTATTGATCTTCTTTATCAATATATATTTTAAATTTGAAAATATTGTGTTTGTATTCATCTCCTCCCTTCTACAAACTGTTTCTCTTCTTGTAGACCCTTACGGGACCAACAAATGGTATCAGAGCAGTGTTTTCTTTCTTTCCTTGTGTTTGGTTAATTTTCTATATTAATTTATCTCTTCTTAGATAACTTACTACTTACAAATGGCTTTACAAATTACAAACACACACACACAAAAGATAATGGCTCTCTTGCCAAACCTCCCCGGTTTGTCCGTGACAACTTTAGTCTCTGGAAGAACAGGATGTCCCTCTTTCTGGAAGGTGTGGATCATGAAATTCCACATTATATAGAAAATGGACCATACCATTTGCTATTGTTCCGGCTGTTCCAGCAACAGCTACGACTGCCGGGATTCCTGAACGGCAGATTCCAAAGCTTCCACATCAATGGAGCGATGAGGACAAGAAGAAAATAGCTATAGACACGCGTGCTCGGTCTATAATAGCTATGTCTCTTCCTGATGAGATCTATCAATCAGTGATGAAACTCAAAACTTCTAAATCCGTATGGGATACTTTATGTGTCCAATATGAAGGAACCACTCAGGTTCGGGAGACTAGAAAGATCAATCTAGTAAGACAGTATGAAAGCTTTCTCTATGGAAAGACCGAGACACTGTCTGAAGTACATCAAAGATTTAATTACCTTCTTATTGATCTAAGGGCTGTAGACAGGGAATATTCTAATTCTGAAACCTTGACTAAGTTTCTAGAATGCCTTCCTGAGTCTTGGGACACCTTTTCCATGTGTCTCAAGATGTCAAATGACATGTCCACTCTTTCTCTTTCTACCTTATACGGGATTCTGCTTAACCATGAGCAATCTCGTCAACTGAAAAGAAATCTTGTAAAAAATTCCAGGGAAATGAAAAGCGCTCCTTTAGCTTTGATCTCTGAAGCTTCTTCAGTTGAAACTTCTACTCCTTTTGTTTCTTCTCTACCTCCCGTGGTCATCACGAAGATAGATTCTTCTGAGGACATTCCTGAATCTGATTTAACATATTTTGATGAGTCCCTGGCACTCCTGACTAAGTCATTTAGAAGGTTCGCCAGTAAAAGCAATTTTCGCAGATCTCCTCAGCTATCCTTCCGGGAGAAGCCAAAGTCTGAAAGAATAGACAAGGCTTCAGCTGTCTGCTACAACTGTCACCGGCCCGGACATTTTGCAGGTGAGTGCAGATCTAAGAAGACTGCGAAGCCATCTTCTAAAGCTTCCTCCTCTTTCAGGACCAAAGATGAAAAATACTTAAAACTGAAGGAGAAATACAAGAAGATGAAGAACAACCAGCGAAAGGCTAAAGGCCTTATTGCTGAAGAGCATGACTGGGATGAATCATCTGATGAATCATCTTCAGACGAAGAAGATAAAGCTTATGTCTGCTTGATGGCCATTGATGCTGACRAAGGATCTTCTAAAGCATCTACCTCTTATGAGCCATCTTCTGTTACTCAGGTATGTATCCTGAATGAACCCTCTTCTTCTTCTAGTATTTCTGCACTAGATACGTTGACGGTTGACCTTTACAATGCCCTCAATGGCAAATCAAAAGCTGAAATGCTTAACATTGATCTTCATGAGCAATTAAAGATTTGTCATTCTAAGATCAAAGAACTGACCTTTGTTAAGGAAAATCTTAAAGATCAGGTTATTGTAAACCAAGCCATCACTGTTGAACGTGAGAAAGCTGTTGTTGAGCGTGAGCGAGTAATCGCTGAACTCAAGGCTGAGAAAGCTACCATTGAAGGGTGGTGCAAAGCTTCGGTCAAGGCCTCTGAGATCATTAACGCTCAGATCCCGGCCAAGAAAATGACTGGTCTAGGATTCTCCTATGATCAGGAAGAATGTGTTAAAGACATGTCCATGCTTAAATTTGGTACTTTTGTCTCTTCGATTCCTAACACTTCTTCCTTTCAGTCCTCTTTCTTTACTGAGAGTCATCTTGAAGGAACTCCTTTGAGTTCTGGGTGCAAAGACAAAGGTAAATCCACTGTCACAGCATCTCTTCCTAAGAAGTCTAACAAGATAAATAGATCTAAATCTATTCCTTCAACTTGTAAAACTTCTTC